TTCGACCTCAAATTTTAACTTATATATATTTTTTTTTTTTTTTTTATACATACATCCCCCCCCCCCCCCCCCCCATTGAGCTGAAAATCTCAAATCCGTTAGTTCAATACTATATCTGAGATTTTCAAATCGTGAAAATCCATTCGGTTTTCTGAGAAACCCTTTTTGATTAAAAATTATAAAAATAAGAGAGGCATAATATAAGACCCCTCCCCCTAAAATTTTTTTCGTCTGAACATAATAGAAGACTCCGGGTCTTTCATTGTGGGAGAAGGGAGGAGGTATCATTTATTCTATATATATATGACCTAGTTCTCACTGAGATCATTCTAGTAATAGCATAGCATAAGGAATTGCGTGGAACAAGAGGGATTTTCACAATCAATAAGTGCCACTTACAATAAATGTAGGAACAATACTTAAGAAAAGAGGACAATAATCTTCTTGGATTTCAATTTAATAATATGAGAATCGTGTAAAGTGTTTGACCCGACCTAGCAGATAAGAACAATTCATTAAATAATCAGAAACAAAATACTATGCAAAATTAGCATGTGAATCAATAATTGTCGTTATTTTGATCGAGCTGACACAATCTAATTTTGTTTTGTCGTTCGAAAATTTTTGACTAAAACTCTATTGAAAACACGAATTTCATCTTTCGAATAAAACAATATGCTTAGTGAACATTTATTGTTTCAAAGCTCATTTGATTCTAATTTGATTATCTATGTTCAGATTTTCGAAATGACGAACACATGAGAAAGTCGTTTTTCGGTAATTAATAATGTCTAAGAAGACATTTCTTAGCAAAAATTGTACGAAGTTTCAGAAATTACCGAAATTTTTTTATAAATTAATGATAAATATATCATAGTATTTTATTTAAACACATGGAAAAGCTTTACCATCAAGTGATATCAAATTTCAGATGTTACTGGGAAATTATCAGAAATTCTTATTGTTTTGAGTGAATTCTATAGACTTATAACTTCATTTACTCATATCAATGTTAAAGAAATTCCGGTAATTTCCTGAGAGTATTCAAAATGATTTACGCAATTTCCTTAGAGTTTCTTTCATACGAAATAGGAATTATCTTCTCATGAATTAGTAATTCCAAACGTATCTGTCGAGTAAATCTGAATATTACTAAGTCTAATTATTTATTCTATTAATATATTCTCATTATCTTTGAACTAATAGAAAAAGTATTATTTATTCGCATCGATACTTCAGTGTCATATGTTATGACATTGAGAAGATTTATCTGTGAATGTCCAATCTCGAACGAATCGTTGTCTTTTTGATAAGACTAACAGCAGTACTATAATGAGGGTAACAGACACCATAATCAATCATATAAGAGACTTGTTTACTATTATGAAAGAATGATAAGTATTCTTTCACATTTTTCTTTGTGTGAATATTCTCAAATAAAATGTCATAGGTCACATTGATATCTATCAATTGGTATAGAATGTCATATTAAATTACTATCATTAGAAAAAATTCTTAGATAATGTTCATAATACAGTTCATTTATGATAGATAATAGTAATCAAATCTCGATGTGGAAGAAAATTTCTGAACAACCTTTTTATGTATATTTATATATAATTTTATAAAGAGATCGAAAAGCTTCCATTTGTTGTGTACAAGCCAATTAAATATCTAAATGAATAAGTTCAATATGAATTATAAATACGCAAATTCTTGTTTAGACTTATGTCATATGACTATAATAATAATAGCTAAATCGATTAGAGTACCCTATGATATGCATGAAATAGTGTCATTTTGATGATAATTGACTTCTGACAATAAAAGTGACAAACTGGAAAGATGAAATCGAATTTTGAGACATATTGTGGATGTTATCGTTTAATGAGTTTTGTCATTTATTTATAACTATTACATTGATATGTATGGGTTTTTCAGTAAAATCTTTCATAAAACTTACGAATTTACTATAAAAATTTTATTATTTCAATTTCTGTTGCTTAAAATAGGCATCAAAGAGAAAAATTATTATAGTAATCAGTAAAAGAAATGATACATAAAGAAAGAAAATTATAAAAATTATTTTTCTGTTCTTTCAATTAATAAGAATAGTCTAACTATCATTTTTTTCATGAGTCTTAACAAATGTAATTGAAATTAATGCTTCTTTCTCGTCATAATGAATGTTTCAAAAGAAAAAAGACATAATAAAAGATTATATTACACCGTAAAAGTCTAAAAATAAACGTTTCCTTCAGCATTCAATTTTAAGAAAGATGATGAAATCTATTTTTAGTTAAATTTGATTTAATCGTTCTTTTTAGTTTTATTAGATTCTTTTCAATAAGTTGAAATCTTTGTTAAATAGTTCTAACTTCAGAAAAGAGACTAATCAATTTTGAAATCTTTATCATACTTCTAGTTTTATTGAGATCTATGTTTGATAATATGATGAAGTCAGAGCTAAGAAAATATGTAGTAATTTAATGTAAAATGCTTTGTTTTCGACTACTCCTATTTTTTAAATACTGAAACAATTGATCAAAATTTCCTGTTAAAGTTTAAACTTTATTGAATGTATATATTAATCAATAAAATTAAAATGTTTAACTTCCAATGCTTAAAGTCACTTACAAGGCAACTTATTCAACTGATAGTTTCTGTTCGAACTCATATTTTTTGGATTGTTACAATTCATCGTGTAGATAAAAGTCCTAAAAGGATATTTGCCATTAGCCGTTTCATCTTGAGTTATGATCATTTTGTTAAATTTTCAGTCTATTGCAAGGATATTAGAAGGGAAAAAATTTTTAATCTGAAAATTTATTTCATGATTCTTAGAATATCCTGTAAATTTCAGCAAAACCCAGTGATTTTTCTCTCACGATGTTGTATACTGAAAAAAAAAGGGATTCGTTTGAATCTTTGGCTATAAATCAATGGCTTTACAACTCTGTTATCTTGTGATAGAAATATCTGTTTTTGTTGCAACTTCCAGAATATAATGAGGATTTAAGAAAACTATTAAACGGTACAATTTCAGACTAAAATTTCTTGATTCTGTTTTATCTGTAACATCCTGTAATAGGATGAAAGTAGTCCAATGATCATAGCTCAAGATGAAAAGGCTAATGGTGAATATACTATTAAGACTTTTATCTGTACAATAGACTTTAACAATCAGTATAATATAAACACAAACAGAGATAATCAGTTAGAAAAGCTCTTGACTGTTAACCATTCATTATCTAGAATAAACACTTCGATCTATTGAAAATATCAAGTTCAAAGTCAAATTTTAATCTTCTTTCTTGACATAATACTTCAAAAATCTTTTCGACACGCCTATTTATATTTTTATTAATGTAATTCCATTAATCTAAATCCTATTTAAAATAATTTCTACGGAGAAAAAGATCATATTCTTTCAATATCTTTTATTAAGAGTTTATAATGATCATGTGTCAAGTATTATTTCATTTTCTAAAGAATGTCAATAGACGATTATTAAGTCTTCTTTTTTCTTCCTAGTTGCTCCACTTTGTGCCTTTCTTAATAATATTGTCGAAATACGAATTGATGCAAATAAATTTGTATGTGACGTACGTCGACCAGTTGCTAAAAAAGTTGCTGATATTGGTATTTAAATAAATGCAATATAATATTAAAAAAAAAATTATTTTTTTTTTTTCATCATCATTTCTCTTAGGTATTTGGCGTTTAATTATAGCTGCTATATCGAAATTAGCAATTCTCACAAATGTAAAAGAAAAAAAAAAAAAAAGTTTCAAGTTAAAAAAAAGTTTCTTGTCAAATTAATAGGGTTTACTTATTGCATTAACATCTGATTTTGTACCTCGTCTTGTTTATCAATATTCTCGAAGTCCAAATCGAACATTAGTTAACTATGTAAATTTTACATTATCAGCTTATGAAATTAATCGTCTTTCATCATCATTAAATAAACTTAATACAACTAGTATTTATTGTTTGTAAGATTTTATTTGAATTTAATATTCTTTTTTGTCAATTAATATTTCTTTAAAATTTAATTTAGTTATAAAGACCATCGTACACCACCATGGGATTCTAAACCATATCAAACTAATCATGATTATTATGTTATTATGGTTGCTCGTCTTGCTTTTCTTATTGTATTTGAGGTTAGAATTATTTGTTTATTTGGTTTTTTTTTTTTTGCTATAATCATTAAAAAATTATTTTAGCATATTGTTTTTGTCTGTTTAAAATTGGGTGAAGTATTAATGCCATTATTATCAAAAAATGTTAAACAACAAATAGCAAGAAAAAATTTTATGGTACAAACTATGCACTGGGGTAAAGAAAAACGTTGTTATTGTTTCATCATTTTTTAGAAAAATAAATTCCGAGAAGAGAAAAATAATGAAGATTTCAAGTTGAATTGATGACATACTTTTTAATAGCCATTGAAATCTTATAATATCTTTTGAAGGCCGATGAATTATCTTGAAGTTCACTGTTTTTGTTTTTTCCTAAACAAAATTCATTTGTAATATATTTAATAGGAGCACGTTTATATGAAAAAAATCCTGAATTAATTGAACGTGATATGCAACGTATTGTTGATGTCAATTCTCAACATCGATGTTCCAATGGTGGTTATGAACTTATTTATGATGTTAAAAGAACAACTCGACATCAACAACCAACATCTAGAAATATATCACAAGATGACTATCGACGACCAGGATCATTAAAAGAAATGAAAGCAGATTTAACACGTGCTCTTCAAACAATTTTATCAGAGGATATTATTGATTTAGGTATTCGATAAAATTTAAATTGCTAGACTTATATTTTTTTCTCACTTTTTTTTTGTTTGTTTTAATGTGCATTGATCTGTGATATATAACATTTAGAAAATAAAAATACAAAGTTAAATGTAGCAACAAATATATTTAGTGTTTAAGGGATTATCATAAGCCTAGTTGACTTTCTGTTGATGTTTTTCCATTTAATTTTGAACTTTGTCTTTCACTTTTAGCAAAACTATTTTCACTAGGATTTTGATATCGAATACTATGTTGCAATGTTTCTTCTTCAAATTTTGTTATACCACCAATATGACCAGTATGATGTTCACTATGTCTCCAATTAATTCGAAAACCACAATTTGAACGTATAAATGAAATAAATTCTTGTCGAAAGAATGTTCCACTTGCACAAAATAATAAAAAATTAACTGAATGACATAAATAAAATAATAAACGTAATAATGTCCATTGTAAACGAAATGCTGGTGCTAATTGATAACTAGTTGGTGCTATTGCAAGAAATATTGATGCCGGAGATGTTAACACTGAATATAGTATACTAACAGCATATAACATTCTTGTTACTGAACGTTTTTTTCGTGCTTTTGAACGTGAACGTTCTGATGCTTGTCGTACTGTTCGCACTAATAAAACATTTCCAACAATAATGACAGTTAATGGAATTATTGTATATGTTATAAGTGCTAATTTCGGATAGATTCTACTGCGAAATACATAATAAATTTCATGATGAACTTTATCTACAGTACATTCAAATGGTATATAATCACTTCTTGGTCGTGTATCTGAGTAAGTTAATTCATAAAATATAAATAAATGTAATTCAGCTAAAAAAACAAATAAAAATAAACAAAGCAATTGTATGCATGTTGATTTTAAAGAACATATAGCACGATGAGTAACATAAAGATAACGTTGTAATGTAACAAGAGCTAGTAATAATGGCGCTACACGAAGAAATATATATGTTAAATAAATATGTATACAACATGTAAATGAATTTATTGTTCTTATGTCAAGATTAAATGCATCAAGTAGAAATTGTCTTAAAAGGCCAGTGTAACATGTTCCTATTTCAGCAATGCATAGAACTGCTAAATAAATTGATGTTGTTTGACGACGAAGACGTGGTCGTAATAAAACAATGAAAGATATTATATTTCCAATAGCACAACCAAGTAATATTATCGGCGATATTATACTTGACACCCATCGTGTAAAGTTTTCATGTGAATATGTCAAAGAACTATTCATATTAATCTAAAAGATAATAGTTCTTGATTTGAAATTCTATTTGTCTGCAATATTTTTCTTTGAAAGATGAAAAAAATACAAGGCACACCTAATGAATAAAACATTAGAAACGTTTTATTCATAAAAAAATCTTTCTCTAAAAGTAGTGTGTATTCTGAAGCTATACCACATGCAAAATAGGAAAAACCATTGTCATTCTTAAAATAAATAAAAAATTATAATATACATATACCGCCAGATTAAATACGATGCTGTCATGATGAAAAGTTAATTGTAGAGTTTTGTGATAATCGTAATAATCATAGATCTTTCGTATCACACGATTTATTTAAGCGGATATAAAATTTGACGTAAAAATCTTTAATAATGTGAAGAGGCATGTCAATAGATAACATAGGAAATTACTATGATAAGAAGAAAATGTTCTACATCCTTTTTAGTGAACTATCTCGGTCAAAAGTGGCGAATAGGTCATGAGAAAAACAAACTTTAATGATATATTTCAAATATAAACATTTATATTCTCAAAGTTAGTAATGTCTATTATTAGAAATAAAAAATCTTTTGATCTTTATTAAAAAGTATATATAATATATTTATTTACGCTGAATTCAAATGAATATACTATGCTCTAGTAGAATAATAACTTATTGTCATTATTTACTTGAAGACAAATGAAACATTTCGTATTCCCAAATGATTTAAAACTGATGACAGGTCATTATATTTTCTAAATCGATATTTTGTTTTGTGAAAATAAGACTAGTATGAAAAGAAATCTTGCATTGAATAAAAAGAAACAACTTGTTCTTTTTATTATATAGAATTCTTTTTATGAAACTGGAATCCGATAAAGATTTTCTCATTCTATTTATTTAAACACATCTATTCAAGAACGACAGTGTATATTTTCCTATTGTCTATATGTAATCCAAGATGACCCATTGACTCTGAATATCTTATGAGTTTATTTTTTAAAAGATGCAGTACTTATGCACTCTAAAATTATAAAAGCATTTCCAAGTGCAACGAGTTCGACATGTTTTCTGTGTTCCTGGATTTTCTTTCAATTACTCTTTTTCAATTAACACTTTCATAAGTTTCAGAAAAAAAAACACTTGAAAATTTTAAATTAAAGTATTTTCTGTCGTTATTATTAATCTTTAGATGTGAAAAATTTTCTAAACAGGTCAATATTATTTTCAATCTAAATTCTTTCTCTCTTTCTTTTTTTTTTCTAATGTCCTTATATTTTAAGAAAAATAAATCATTTGACATAAGAGAAATATAAAGATAACAAGGTCATCTTAAAGATGTTAGGTGTATAATGAGCGATAAAATATATGAAGCGTATGTAACTAATGAAGAGTGTTTGAAGGTCAAGTGGTCAAATCAAACTGATGAAATAGATGAAACGAATAATATAGTTTTCATAAAAGCATTGATGTCAAAACGTTTGCTAATTTTATTTTCATATACATCACCAAAAAAAAAGAATATAAGTAAAGACATATATAGTCGAATTAGTATTTAAAAAAAACCCAGAAATGACACAATATGTCATAACAAAAAAAAAAAAGAAAAGATAGAAATAATAAAAATTCGTTCGATAACAAAACAGGAAATTTTCAAGGATATAGGATTGCTTTTTTCTTAGGAGACTAGTAACTTCATAGAAAGTGACATATTTGAAAAAAAAAGATTCAGGAAATCTGTTTAGTCTACAGATAATTAAATATGTATATTCAGAAAAAAAGAGTATATGCATATAAGGTCAATTTGTTTCGTGAAAAGATTATTTTACATGATTATTCTTTATCGCATAATAAAACTGATGATGATGTGCAAAATAATAAAAAAAAAAAGAGATAGAAAAGAAGAAGCAGAAATGGTTCCGATAACAATCTACTAGAACTAATCGCCTATACATCCAGATTCAAAAGAGGCATCTTCTCAATCTTCTTTTTTTTATGTGTTCCATTTTTATAAGAAAAGACATCTAGTGGAATTTATAATAAAAAAATATAAACAATACGTTCATTTATACTTAATAATATAATGACTGTATGATCAAAAATATAACTATCATAACAAGAAAAAAAAAAAAAAGAAACATGTTCAATACTATTTCACATAACAAATTTACTCCTCTTGATTCTTTTTAGTAGTTATAATCGACAAGTACTTGTCACATTCTCTTTCTCTTTTCTTGTTTAACGAGAAAAAAAAATGTAATTTCCCATACCCATTACAACCATAAGATATACTATTCATTGAATTAATCTAACGTTCGATTTTCTGATTGAAAACCATTGAGAAATAATACATACGAACTGAATAAATAAATAATAGATTGTTTCTATTTATAATCTCAACTAACAAATGAGTATATCTGACTAAAGCATATTAATTGATTTATAAAAAAAGATAATGAAACAAAAAAAAGGTAGTTACTGACTAAATTTATCTATATAAGTCTGCTCTATAAACTATGTCTTATACTTAATTCTTATGATTTTCTAAACTAATACAATAGTTCACGTGAATTATTATCAAGAAAAGCCTTATTTACTATTAATCGTTTTGAATTGTAAAGAAGAACAATAATCAATCTCTCTAAGGATATGTATGCGCTATATGTTTAAATATGACAGACGTGTTAATTAACACATAATCTTCAAGAATATAAAATGATCATAGATAAGAAGATTTGAATAATACAACTGATTGATTTCGACAAAAGAAGCATAACATGTTCTAATCATGTTGACTTTATTTTCGAATTAATTTCAAGTTTTACTTACTTATATTATTTTGTATTAAATGATTATAATAATATCATTCAAAATAATTTCGTAGTCACCTTCAACAGTATAAAGCATATAATTGTTAATAGAAACAAGAGAATAAAAAACAAAGATCATGAAGTTGATCATTTTTCATGTTATATTGAAAAAAAACACTCATAAAAGATTAAACGAAATCTATAGCTATCAGAGATCTCGATATATAAAGCATTAAACATGCATCATATAGATTAAATCGTTGGGTTTTCTAGATTAAAAGCAATACTCATAGCTGAAAAACTTCGTACAGTTATAAATCTGAAGCGAAAAGATTTCATCAAAAGATACTAATAGGAAATATTGAATGTTACCGTTTCGTTAGGCACATCGACAATCACAAAAGTTCAAAACTGATTTGTTAGAAGTTTCTATCATTTTTTAGCTTTCTACCAATATGATACTCTAGTTGATAATGTACTAAAATATTTTCTTTTTGCTCCTCAAAAACAGACCTTCTTATATACATATCGTCCATCGGATTATCATGGTAAGTGATGTTGCGAAAAAAAAATCGAAAAATCTTTATCATGTCAATGAGATTGGATGCATGCCTAAAAATGATAGAAAAAAAAAGAGAACAGAAATAAATAAGAAGCAAAACAGAAGAACTATTCTCTCTTTCTCGTTCTTTTCTATTTTTTTTTATTCTTGCGTGCTAATACGACGTTATACTATCTCACAAGCAAACCAGATTTCTCTATATAAAAAAAAAATAATAACTGATGAAGAAGTATTTCCGCTATATTCAATAAAAGAATGTTAGCATACAAATAAGAAACATTTCTTTTTATTCTATTCAATACTACATGTATCTCGAATTCGGCCACAAACTTTGAGGAGGATTATACTTGTAATAAAACTCGCCATTGATAGGAAAATATTCATATCGGATATGAAAC